TTTCTCCACTGGGCTGGTTAAGTTGGCGATGTGAGCCTGCATGTTCAGCTGAAATAGCTCGTATGTTACGTTCTTTCATCATCTCTGATCTCAGAAAGAAGGCATGAAGAGCTTCCTCTTGTAGAAATTATCTATACTTTTCACAACAGTAATTGGATCATCTCTTTAGCCACTCTTCCTCAAGTTCAACAAACCTACCCTTTCATAATGTGCTCTGCTCCAGAAGTGCCCATAAAACATTTCTTTCATAACAGTTCACCTGCACGTTCTACACATCCTTTGTATTTTAAATAACAGTGACTAAAGTAGGTCCTATACTCTCCTTACTACTCAGTCCCAGTCCTCAGGGTCAAGCGCTTCCTGGACCACGCATGCTCTGTTCCATTTTTTTCTTTTTTCCTGTTTTAAACAGTCTGGGAAGAAGTTAGGTGTTGTGTACAAACCGCATACAAATGGGCATCGTGTACCCATTTGTACCCATGTACCCATCAAAACCCAAATATAGAAGTAAGCACATGGTCCTTAGTTCATTTTTTAGACAATGATGAATGCGCAGGTACGAATATGACAAGCAGTAGCCTTAAGCCAAGGATGTATAAGTGATGGAAAGAGAAGAAAAAGTCTGCTAGGTGGTGCCCAGATAAGTACCATTCTCTTCCTATCAACATCGGATGGATGTGTAGGCCCCTTCCTCTATAGCGGCGGAACAAAATAAATTGAGCGCTAAATTGACAGTTGCAGAAATTTACAGATACCTACAGAACTAAATGTGCAGCCCATCCTGACATTTGCATGTGTAAATAGGAACAGAAATAACTAGAGGTGTAGAAATAAAGTTGATGAAGACACTAGACGTTAAATTTCAAACTTTAAGTTTGAAATACCCAGAGACTGGGATTTCTCTGTAATTCATAAGTCAGCCCTGATTCAAAGAAATGGCCAGGCTGCCATGAGCCAATTTTAGATATGGCCAGGACAGGACTTAGAAGAAGCCCAGCAGAGACCCGTCACCAGCTGATGAGGAAGAAGACCCCCAAACAGACCCAGGACAAATAATTCTGCAGTCTTACTGGCAAAAGAGTTCATCCCTTACTTATTGTGGAAAGGATCCACACTTCAGTTGTAGCTTTATATTAGTTTTTACTAACTGACATATTATTCATTCCACAGTATGTTTCATTTCTCCTCACATGATTCTTTTGAAACCTCTAGAAAGGCCTGTGTTATAATCCCTTTCATGTGCCTGAACTTGGTGGACACCAGAGGGTGGACTTCTCCTAAATCCTGTTGCTCAGACTATACAAAAAAACAAGCAGCGCCCCAGACAAGCCTGTTCCTGTTTGAGTGTGCCACCCGTTACTCACCCAGGAAAGAGACCTCGTTTGTGAAGAAGGAAAGAGCTTCTGCTCTAGAAACTGTTCATGGAGGCTCTTGCTTTACACTGAGGGGAGTTCCATAAAATTGCCATCACCCACTGTGTAAGACAAAACCTGTGGCAGCTCAAGGGATAGTCTCTGTTTTAAAATCCTAGAAAAGATAAACCTTGAAGATTATGGACTGTTTCCACTCCCTCCTCCACTTCCCTGACAAGAGGCAACGTGAGTCTAAGGAGGAAACCAAAGATTACTGGCTTAAATAAAGCAGAAGTCTTGTCTTGTGTAACTGCCCAAATGCTAACACAAGCTCATTGTTGCTCAACTTGTTATTTAAAGGCTGTGCTTTATTCCATTAACTTCGATTTGCCCTTTTTGCTTCTGTAATTTTTCCATACCGGACGAGGCTACCGTTCTGGCCATCCTCCCTACCCTTCTGTCTGGGCGTCATTCGTGAGAGGGGCTCCGTGCCCGTGTCTCCCCACCGGGACCCATACAGCCCACTGGTAACTACCTACCACCTTAGTCTTGTCCAGTGGCAGAATCTGCACCCATAAATTTGACTAAGACAAAAGTATTACCTGTTGACCAACAACTTTAGCTCTGCAACACAAACATCTGAGTCAGGAAAAATTATTAGGACACAAGCCATACATACGGTTAGATAAAAACAGATAAGGCAGGATGACGGCATGGTCCAAGCAAGTCTCTGTATGGAGAGATGCCTTCTTTTTAGTATTACTGAATGCATTACTTCGAAAAAGAAAAAATACTTAAAAAAATACACACTCGAGCCAGCCATCATGGCCTAGTGGTTAAAGTTTGGCACGCACCGCTTTGGCGGCCCTGGTTCAGTTCTGGGTGCGGAACCACACAACTCGTCTGTCAGTAGCCGTGCTGTGGCGGTGGCTCACATAGAACTAGAAGGACTTAAAACTAGAATATACAACTATATACTGGGCTTTGGGGAGGGAAAAAAAGACAGAGGAAGATTGGCAACAGATGTTAGCTCAGGGCAAATCTTTCCCTGCAAAAAAAAAAATATCCACACTCAAAAAAGGGAGAAAAACTAGTATTGAGAATAATTATGAAAATGACTAAAAATTTCACTTTTCATCTGCTGCACAGGGAAGTTAATATAATGAAAAATTAACCATAATGAAATATTTTGTCAAATAGTATTTGCTCCCATATTAAGAAATCAATGCCTACATGCACAAGTTCGAGTTTACAGAAACTAAAAACTTAAGGTGGTAGGATTAACGATTCTTTTCATTTCCCTCTTTATAGTTTGTGTATTTTCCAAAGTTTTTGCAAAGACTTTTTAGAAATAGAAAAAAAGGTTAAACACTAAAACTCTTTAATATAGTTTTTCCTGCTGAATTAGTATCCTGTTCATGAAACATGAGCATAACTCAACGTTGCTATTGATCTCATCAAGATGTGGCTAGATATGTACTTAAATAATAAGTAAAGTGAGGATGAGAAATATATTTTACAGAAAGTAAAATTAACAATATGCCTTTATACCTTGTCTATATGATCCCAAACCTGAAGATATTTGAAAATATTTGAATGACTGAGTTGTTTTACTTTTCATCTGGATTAGTGATACTCTATAACTATCTATGTTTTGGTAGTCACGAAAATTTTTTAAATTTCAACATTATTATACTTGTTATCTATTTTGCTACATCAGAATTTCTCAATTGGCACCTATTGACATTTCAGACCAGACAACTCTTTGTGGTGGGGGCTGTCCTCTGCACTGCAGGATGTATAGCAGCATTTCTGGTCTCTACCCACTAGATAACAGTTGTGACAATGAAAAATGTCTCCAGACATTGCCAAATGTCCCTGTGGGGAGAAACCACCCCTGGTTGAGAACCATGCTCCACAGTAAGTTATTTCTATCCAAATATTTTGATTATCTTTTTAACAATTACCTATTACTATGGCTGCATTAATCATGCCATGCTTCACATTGATCACAATGATTAAAGAAATTACAGATTTACTCTGGCACTCAGGCACTTACTATCAAGCTATTAGACAAAGCCTGGGAATATTAAAGGAAAAAATTCCTATAATTACAAAAAGAAAAGATTACACAAAAAGAGCAAAGATTTTGGTTGTACACTGGAATCACATTACATTCATTTGTTGAAGTGGTCCAAATGACTCAAGAAATACAGAAGCTATTATTCACTCAGCTACAGCACAGCAGATAGTAACACGTATTTTGAAAAGAAGAGATGTTGCTTCATGTGACAATACTGCTGATATTTAAGAAGACACGTTAGAGACTCAGACACTCAGTCAGGCATAATTTTTCCCCTTAAATGTCACGTATCATTTTTCTTATTGCCTTTTTTATTTAAACACATGTTCAGTGGCATCCACAATCAAAATTTTGTTGTGAAACCAACACTAAAATTGAATATCTTACTTTTATTGCATGTAAGTAAATATTATAAATGATCATAGTTAATAACAGAAATAGCAAATATTATCTGCAACACCATTATCCTACATTGTAGTGATTTTTATTTCATCACTGTGAATGGTGGATGGTCTTTTGTCTCTTCTAAATGTCCTAGTCCTCATGGGATAATTAAATATGACCCATAAGTGAAATAAAGTTTAGGAGGATTTTTTTTCAAATAGATAGTCTTGATTCGTACTATTATCCTCCAATTACATTTTAAAATTTTCAAAAATAACATGTGAGTTTTAAAACTTATTTAATTTAAAATGACTTTTTTTCAAAAAGAAAACACTATAGTGGGATGCCGGGATTGCATTCATCCCAGCATGCCCCACCACTGTGCTTTGGATGGCAATCACAGGACCCAGACATCAAGCTGTGGAGGAGATTCTTCCAAGCAACAGCATCTGGCTCTTTGGCAAACTGAACAGGCAGTTGCCCTGGTGGCTTTGGAGTTGCCTCTGGGTCCGTCACGGGTAAGGCTGCTGATGGAGTGTCTGGATTCTCATCTTTTCATTTCACCGTCTTTCTCATATACCGTTTTGGCGTCAAGAGGCCCACTCTCTTCCATAAGGCAAATACTGCCCTCCTTAAGCCTAATGGATTTCTACATAAACCCTGTTGTACTTCAATAAGTATCCCTTTGCACTGCCCACATCCCTTACGAAAGTGTAAAAATAGGCAAGCATTCTGGCAGCAGCAACACTAGCATTCTATTCATACCCCACCTGCAGAGAGAATCAGAAATTAAATGTTCTATTTTCAGTCCTGGATATTTTAAGCCTGTATTTTCACCTTCTTTACTTGCAATAGATCTCTTTGCCAGTTGAATTTAATAAAGTCATATTTATAGTATTAATAGCTACCTAATCTCATGGAAACTTTTTTTTCATTCTCCAGATCACACAATCTAAGCTGGTAAGGTGGTATAAGGACTATAGGGGCTTAATTTGAAGAATTTGTGGCACTTTAAAATCATAAGTGCAGTCCCTGAACAAACAAACACTCTGAACACCAGAATCTCAGCTCCAGAACAAAGGGGCTCTCATATCCTCCTAGCTGTGAGGGAAATTAAAAAGACCAAATTTGGAAAGTAAAGAATGAGTTTTTGGATGTTTTTAGGATAAAAAAAAAAAAACCAACCCGACAACCTTCTGAATAATTTGCACCAAAGGCATTAATCAGTATGGCCTCTCTACAGACCACAGGCTACGCATGGTGCCATGACCCACAAATCGTACTCAAAAGATAAAATAACTATTGGTGAAGAGATGGCTCAAAGACTCTAGTGGGTCCAAAAAGACTTAGATCAGTAAGACTGCTTTATAAGAGGTGGCGTTTAATTCCTCCTGTTAGAGTTCACCAAAAAAGGGAGGTTTTTTACACTGGCCACCTCTATGGAGACTCAGTTCTACTCTATCATTTGATCACCACATTCAATACCTCCATCAATGAGCTATGGAAAAATGCATGGTAATGTCTGTTTTATGGATGAGAAGCAAATTAAAAAGGAGGGAGAGAGAATCTTTATAGGAAAGACTATATTTGAGTGTAAGTTGTCCTAAATTCAGAGGGAAATAAAACCCATCATCTTTGAGGACTGGTGAGTAGTCGAAGCTAAAATGGCCAAAACCAAATGGATGAATATACAGTATCTATTTCTAGCTCAGACAAGGGGGATTTAAAAAGTTAACAGTATTTATAACTATTTTGAATAACTTTTTTTGCATTATCTTAGAAATAAGATAAGAATGTAATGATGCTATGTATACTTACAGTCTCTATATCTTTTAGATATTGGCTAAAAGAATATAGAGTTAAATCTCAAGTTTGTTTTTATTCCTATCAAAAATATTATCTTCTACTGGAGAGCACATAATCTACCTAGACACATGATAAATTATACACTCAGTTGCCTTCTGATTTTATTTTTTAGAAACAAATCAAATTTGAACATTAAGAGTCAGTTAATGCAAACAACTCCTACAGCTTTCCCAAGGAACACTGCTGTGGATGATAAACACAGGTACTTACAACTTTGAGCAACTGACAAATCTCTCCAGGCTTAATTTTTGTCCCCAGTAATCATCTATACTCTGGAAACCAGAAAAATCAGGATGACTTCTGCCCTCAGATTTGGGATGGTAAATTTTCCAGAAGAGAGAGGATAATGTAAACTTTTAGATCAAATGCTTATTATAACTATTTGCTTCTTCTTTAAAAGAGAAAAAAAGTTAGTTCCTGGTCCTGAGAATGCATTTCTAGACATAGTCACCTCCTGACAATTTCGTAATACATAGTAGGTCCCCATATATATTTGTTGAATGAATAAATGCAAGTTCACATTACAATCAACTTTTAAAAAAATTCTTGTGCTCTGGAGACTTCTTGGATTGATAATCACACATCTTGAGAGAAATCAGAGACTTCAATGGAAATTTTTTCACATGAAAAATAAATGGATTTATCCATCCTGCCATGTGTGAATACATTGGTTAACAGACCAAATCAATCCAAATGTGCAAAAGAATTTAAGACTATTTGGTCTAACGTAAAGTTTTTTTGCTTTTACTGGAATGTCTTCATTAGGACTACATAGTTGACTGAGGTTGTAACTACCCAATGTCAACTACCAGGACAATTAAAAATATTTCTTAATGATAATGGAATTGTTTGGTTTCCCTCCAAGTGTTTTATCATAGACACAGGCTTACTTGAGGTGACCAATTCCTTGGTGAATATCTAGTGCCTACAGAATGTCTCTTTGCTAGAAAAAACCTTCACTCAGGGCTTTGCTTCTGTTTTTTTACTGAAACAGTAGGAAAAGGTCAGGATCAACTCAGGGCCATGATTCTATTGATACTCAACATCTATAAACCATGTCTATTTTTTCTGTGTTTCTTCTTCCTATTTTGTGTGTCAAATACAAGAGAGCACAAGCAAAAGGAAACTGCTTTTCAAAAAACCAGAACATACCATCTACTTTTGGTGTGGTCTGTGTGTCTCTTAAGTGGTGACTCTGTCATATTCAGGAGCTAAGTATTGGAAGCAATTATATCTTTCACTTTTTGCTTGTTCATTAGTTGAATAAGCTGCCAGAAAACTGCCATTTCGGCTACGAGCTACTGTCTGTTGCTGAACTAGCTTAAATGGTATCCAATAAATGATTAGGAATGTCATTATTGAGTGGCTATCCAAGTCCCACACATGCTAATAAAGATGCCCCCAGCATCCATAGGTCAAATGCCAAGAAACAGATGCACCAATACAAGTTAGTCTGTTGTTGCTCTTATGTTGTTAGGCAAATACAACATCTAAGTTTCAAGCTAGCCCAAGAAGAGAACCACTTCTTACTGGTCTAGGAGACCTGGTCTTCCCCTTGATACCCAGCTGACACACTTGGCCTCAGCACCAGCAGAAACCAAGGCTTGCTTGATAGTTACTGGATAGTTACTTCAACTTTTGCAATCTGAGAAAGGCAGTCCAAAGGAACAGGAAAAGCTCTAGATACATCATATAGAATGAGATGAGGAGGAGGGGAGAGGTTCCTAGACCCGGACAAGTAGCTGATAGCTGGCTCTCGCCAAAGGGAGGTTACAATGCTCTAGAGATCCACCTGTTCTGAGGGAGAGAGAGGAGGAGCCTGGGGCTTCAGAGAAAACTCCAGGTCTGCTTGTCTTCAGAAGCTTTGAGAGGCTGCCTAACCCGTGGGCAGAATCACAAAAAATGGCAAGTCTGCAGGCAGTCTGTAGATGAATAGATGGAAACATTAGGGAAAGTGGGGGTGCGGCTGACGGAGCGACAGCAAGGCGGGCCCAAGGATACTGAGGGCTGCAGAGGGAAGTGTGCATTTGTGGAAAGAACGTTCCTGTGAAGCTATCCCTCAAGAGAAAGGGATGTGCCCGCTCGGGCCTTGAAGGACGGGGTCCTTCTTTCTTCCTCCGCAGGATGTGTGTGTGTGTCCTCTGGGCAGCCTTGGAAGTCTGACTACCTGCTCCTCTCTCTTCCCTCCCAGGCACCTCCCACGGGCTCAGACCCCAGCAGTATATCTCTCCCTGGCGCTCTGCGTGGCTGCCCAATGCAAGAAGCCTCCAGAACTCCCCAAAGGAGCGCACCCCCACAAACCCTTTGGTGAAGACAAGTGACCGGCTGGTCTGAGTCAGCCTGTTAGCCTGCAGCCGCGCCCGGGCCCACACTGGGGGAGGGAGTGATACCGTGGAGGGGCACCTCCTCCCCAGCTGCCTGAGCCTCGGCTGGGAGACTGCGCTGGGGAAGGGACAGAGGCAGAGGGGGTTCCGAGGGCTGTAGGACGCCAAGCAGCAAGCACCTAGCCCTTCGCGGGCGCCGAAGCACCTCGTAAGGACTCAAACTGAGATTTATCCCTTCCGCAACCTGCACCCGCCCCGGGGCCTGGCGACCACGAGGGCAGACGGCGTCCTCGAGTCCTCGCGCCCGGGAGCGCCGGGCTCGGCCGGCCGCAGGACCACGCCTGGCACTAGGCGCCGCCGCTCGTTCGGCGCCAAGGCTTGAGGCCCCGGTCTTCCCTTCCCGCGCTGGAGCCCGCAGCTCGCCGCCAGGGTTCGAGGCGGCCAGAGCGAGGCCTGAGCTGGCCGCGCCTCGCCGGGGAAAGGAAAAGCCCAGAGGTGGCCGCCTCCTCTTCCCCAACTCCCAGCCCGGAGTCGGGGCGTGCTCGAACCTAGGAAAGGTTGGGATCTTCCCCTTCAACGCACACGCACGCGCGAGCACACACACAGAGAGACACGCGCGCGCGCACACGCACACATGCACGCTTTGCTCTGCTGGCCCGAGAGTTAGAGAGGGGGCGCTTTGGAAAACTTGGTCGATTCGCCGGATGACCATTTGCGCCCAGCCGTCCCTACTCTCAATTTTAAAAGATTTTTTCCCCACGACTTTTCCGTAAGTGAATCAAAGCAGAACCCCGTCTCCGAGGCATCCCAATCCCTTTTGGCAAACTGTCCCAAATATACCAGGTGGACCTAGGTCTCCAAACCCTCCAGCGCGCGGGAGCAGCGGCCTCCCTGGCCCCGCTCGGAGCGCAGGCTGGAGGGCGCGAGGTTTGCGCGGAGACACCCGCCGCCAGGACGCCCGCGGCCAGGAGGCGCTGCCCAGCACCGCGCGACCCGCAGGAAGGGGCGCCTGGCCCCGCGGGGCGCTTGCCCGAAACTAGCCCGCCTGATCACAGCTGTCCGTGCGCTTGCACATTAAAAAACCCAAATGAAGGAGTATGTGAATTGGGGAAGGAGGGAGCCGGGGGAGTTTGCACCGTGTATTTCAGGTACGAGAATTTTCACTGACATTGATGCAACTGCATTAGAGTTAATGGCAGCAGCCTGCTTCTCATTATTAACTGTCTTCGTGTTTGGATAAAGTATGTAATCTTCTTCTCAACCACACTATTAAAATAGGTTGCCTTTTCAATTAAGAACTGTCGTGAGCACAGCAGTCAATTTTCCTAATGAAGATGCATTATATTTTCACATTTTTTTAAATAATGGAAAATCTCAGGTTTTCATTAAACGCGATTACGGAGAAATACAAGCGAGTTTCTCTAAAATTTATGCGGTCATGTAGTGCATTAAACGTCAGGCTTTTAAATAAATTGAAATTTCTGCAGATAAAAGAAAAGCATGAGTATCAAATACGTTCAAACCTCTCCATTCAGATTTTAAAAAGCAAAACACGGTGAGCTCATTTTTTCAAATGCACTTAACAGATGTAACAATAAAAACAAGTCAGAGACTGTCCGAAAATACACCTATAAACTTTTGGGGGATCCCTTCTAGTTCAGACGTGATCTGCAGATCTTAAACTGAAGCTGTGAATTTGTTGACAATGCACTGTGCACATTTAGACAATGTGCCGTCTTTGAACAAGCACCTCAGCTTGATCATTAAGGAGCAAAAATTCTCTGGGCTGTGCTCCTACAACTAGTTTTTGTTTGTTTTCTTCCTTGCTTTCATTTTCCTTCTTTTTTTTAAAAGACAAATTGAAATCTATTGACTCTGGTAGAACTGTTTAAAATACTATGCCTTCGTGATAAGCAACTTCTCAATTGTTGTAAAAAATTAAAATTGTAAAATTCTAACGTTGAAGTTTAAAAATTTGTTGGAAATATTCATTCCTGGATA